AAAAAAAAAAAAAAAAAAAAAAAGAGGAGGTAACAGACTCCTCTATGTTTCCCCTCTCTCCCTGGGGAGAGGTTATGATTGAAAAAACAATGTAGCTCGAGGTTTACATCTCACAGCACAACTACATTGCACAGAGCGGACAGCGTCACAGACCTTTTTCGTCGTACTGCTCGGTCTGAATCATTATGAGAGCATGTGCTCGTCCTTAATTGTATATTAACTATGCTAAGCCCGGACTCGATTCCTAGTTTGGAAAACTTCCCAACTCGGGAGTCGGGACCAATCGAGGGTTCACCCGAGAAAGTTCCGAAAAAGTGAAAAAATAAACTGAAAAAATAAACTCAAAAGGTAGTGAAAAACCATGGAAGGTCAAAAACGTTTTTTGTGGTGCTTGCTCCTTCCCGTCAGCCGTTCGGATCTTACTGTCGAAAAAAAGACAGTTTCCGAGACACCTTCACCGTGTCCCAGTCGTTGTATCTCTCTTCTTCTTTTTTTTTTTTTTTTTTTTTTTTTTTTTTTGGGTGCTCACAGGACCAACCCCATTCCTACCTCAGCGTTCTTCTTGCTTAGGGTAACCCCTGCTTCTCCATCTACGGCGGGCACTGTTGACCCTTACCTCAGGTATACCGGACAGCAATTGCAGGCACCAGCGCTAAGCCAGGCCAGGACAACCCCTCCCAGCCCTAGTTGAAGCACTATCGGACGAGCCTTGTTGTACGGCCCGGTACGGGCACTTTGGTCGCCAAGCATGATCGTCCTACTATGCAGTTTCCTTATGAGTACCAGCCCTGGGTTGGCCAGACAGCGAACGTTCCACGGATCTACCCCAAGCAGTGTCAAGGCCCCAAAACAGTGGTCAAAGGCCCAAAACAGGGGTCAAAAGTCACTCCCTAAGTCTAAGGAAAGGCTAGCGAAAGGCCTAAGGGGAAGGCGTACCCCAGGGCAGGGCCAAAACCAGCATTCAGAGGCCCTAGGAAGAACAGTTGACTTTGACAAATAAGCCCTCAATTCGGACGGTTCTCTTACCACCGCCGGAATAGAGCGCTTACTGCACCGGGACGCCGTGTGTGATATGCTGATCGTCTCCAAGCAAGTGGTGAAGATCTGCGCCATTCTCCCCTTTTGCTGCTGACGTGGATGGAGGATGGGTGCCCTATTGTAACCTGCTCATGGTGCAGTTCAGAGATAGTCAGAGGAGAACCACATTCCTAAGGCGGCTAGAGAGGGAGATGCCCCAGGAGGAAGTGGGTTTGAGTAGGGGTTATTGCTTCGTTGTTTCTTGTGGGAACTCTCCTCCTCCTCTCTGTCTCTCCTCCCTCCTCTCTCGTTCTCTTCTCTGACGTGTGAGACATTGGGAGATTGCATGTACTTCGGGCAGGGATACATGAACGATTTTTGGAGACATTATTGCTGCGCTGAGTTAGACTTGTGTCATGACATTCATGAGCTTCTCATCTGTCTGGGTTCATTGCAAACGAGCAACATTTAGCAGAAATAGAAAAAAACAATCAGTAATTCCTGGCGCTACATTATTGCTGCGCTGAGTTAGACTTGTATCATGACACTCGTGAGCTTCTCATCTCTCTCTCTGTGTCTGAAAGAAGAAGAAGAAGAAGACGAAGAAGAAGAAGACAAAGAAGAAGAAGAAGATGTCGTCCTCGTCACTGCCTCACCTGCAGGTAACTGCCGCCATGTACTAACTGCCGCAGTGTGTCTCTCTGTACTGCAGGTCGCTGGTGAGAAGTGCAGCTATGGCGCCCAGGTAAGTGCTCCGCCGCTGCAGGTATGGCCACAGCCTCTCTCCCTACCTACACCTCTACCTTTAGTGCAGAGCTGTATAGCACAGCTCCAGCAGCGTGTCACCCAAGAAGTGAGCTACTCGAACCGTCTCTGCCCAGGATCAGGCCCAGCTACAAATAGTGCTGGGCCTGGGTGCTGTGCCCATGACCTGTGATCTGGGCCGCGAGATCGTCGGTCCGATCCACGATCCAGATTGTAGGAAAAAGTCCTGCTCCTGGGCCTGGCCTAAAAACAGCCTGCCTGGGTCCCTACCGGACGTCCATGCCCTCCCTGCTGATGCAGCAGGGAACGTCCGCCACTGGACAAAACCGAACCTGGCCCGAAAGGGCCTGGCCACGAATGGAGAAGGACCAAAACATGGCCTTTGTTGGAAATGTAAGTCTGTTCGGACGTACTGCAAGTCCGAAACGACGTCTGCAACAGACAAAAATAGAACAGCAAATAAATAAATGCTGCCTCAAATAGATCTCTGCAGCCCCAAAGGCTGGCCGTGGGCCTCCAGGGCTCGTGCCTAAATGGCGTGCGGGCTGGGGACCGCCAGCAGCCGTCGGGCCCCCGAAACGGGGTCCGTGTGCAGGCTCAGCATGTTGAACCGGGCCTGTCCCAGGTATCTCAAATACGTTTTTGGGAAACTTGCATCTGTACCCCACTTAAGGATGGGAATAGCGGCTATACCCAGTCCCAGCGCCAGCTTGCATCTATACCCCAGAAAACGGCTGGTGGAAATTGTTTGCATGCCCAGGACCGAGGTGGGCCCAGGTTGGTACTGCAAAATTGCAGTTATAACCAACTACCGGAATGCACAACTTATGGACATACCCAGGCAAAACTATGGACATACCCGGGACCTGAGGTGGAGCGGCTCAAGTATTCATATCCCCCCCCACTGGTGGCTCAAATTATGCTTATACTCAGCAGCCGTTGGGCCAGAACAGCCTCCTTGGTGGGCACGAGCATAATTTTGTGGTTGAAATTCAAAGACCTGCAGGACTGGGTACACCTACAATTTTGCACAGGGGAAAAGCTGGGTACTATGCAAAGTTGAACAACCTCCAGGTATAGATGCAATTTTGCTCTGGGACTGGGTATAGCGGGTATTCCCATCTTTAAGTGGGGTACAAATGCAACTTTCCCTAGCTGTTTTGGACCCCGATGGACGTTTGTGAGGTTCTTTTTTTTTGGGGGGGGGATGGGGGGCATTGCGTCTGTACCCCACTTGAAGATGGGAATACCAGCTACACCCAGTCCCAGTGCCAACTTGCACCTATACCCGGAAAACTGCCGGTTGAAATTATTTCCGTGCCCAGGAATGAGCTGGACCCAGGTTGGTACAGCGAAATTGCAGTTATACCCAACTACCGTAATGCACAAATTATGGACTTACCCAGGAAAAAGTATGGGCATACTTGGGACTGAGGTGGACCGGCCAAATTAGTCACATACCCTGCTGCCGGATGCCTGAAATTATGCTCATACCCCGCAGCCGCTGGACCACAAGGGTCCACGTGGTGGGCATCAGCATAATTTCGTGGTTGGCATCCAAGGCCCGCCCCTGGCTGTGGGTACACCCGCAATTGTGCCAGCCCTTTTCTGGGCATGCGCATAATTTCCTTGCCTGGAACTCAGAGTCTGCGGGACTGGGTATGCCTACAATTTGGCACAGGGGAAAAGTAGGGTACTATTCAAAGTTGAAGGGGTTCCGGGGATAGATTGGGCGCTGGGACTGCGTATGTAGCGGGTACTCCCATCTTTGAGTGGGGTACAGATGCAATTTTGCCAAACAGCTAAGGTAAAGGCTACCTTTTTTTTTTTTTTTGTTGTTGAAAAAGACTCGTACAGCAAATTGACAATTGGCATGAAAAAGCAGTCTCTGCTGATGTTCATAGGGGGAGGGGTAATCAAGGAGGCACAGCGACTGGCCCCTCGGATGATGCTCGATCCCTCTGTTACCTGCTGTCCCCTGGCGGGTGTCCCCATTGGGGGTTCCCTGAAGGCAATAAGGCCACCCGGTGTAAGATTAGACACAACATTGAATTTACCTGGCACATTGGCCACCAACATGTCCAGATTCAGGCGTTGAGGAAACTCAACGCTGCTAGTGGGACTTGGCCCCTCAAGGCCATCGCCCTTTCAAAACCGAAAAAAAAAGAAAAACGAAAAAAAAAAAAAAGAAGAAGAAAAAAAAAAGTTAAAAGAACGGCCAGCAGTTATCGGTTGGCGTCAACCGTGTTCGAAATGAAATGACATCGACCTGGGCACCCTCAGCACCCGCTTTTTGACCGAGAAGCTCGCACTCAGGGAGAAGCACTTGAACGAGGATGACGGCCAGATTCAGAGCAGGTCAGGGT